AGGCCTGACCAATCAATGGCTAACTGGAAAAGGATTGCAGACTCACATTTCTATCTAAATACACATTAGGGATTCACTCATAACCCAACCATCCTTTTGGGTTTGACATATTGCTATAGGAAAACAGATTTAAATATTTAACACACCTGTGAAAGGACTCACGGGGAAGCTATGTTAATGTGGGGCAGAGCCCACCAGCTAGGACACCCTGAGTCTCTGGGTACAAGTGCCCCCATCTGGTCATCAGAGGCAGCCTCATTCACTCCCTTTGTGTCATATCCATGTTGTCATTTCTGCGGTATCATTTTCTAAGTGGGGCAGGAATTAAAACAACAACATTTTTGGAAGCACTGCCAAGTTTATGAAAGAGTGCCAGTATGTATTTGGGGGATTTATCTAGTCATTTAATAGATATCCAGTGTGGAGATGTTACAACCTTGGGAATGTAGCTGTTTTACCAAAACAAAAATTTATACAGCTGTTGCCTCTTAGGTTATATAACTCATCTGTCTCCTCTGAGGGCTGGTGGATGATTCAAGGTCACCTTGCATCCTTACTGGGTGCCAGGTAGCATGCTCAGTGCGGGGATGTCTCAGAGAACCAGAGACGATGTGGCCCCAGCCCTGGCAGAGCTTACTGTCAAGCAAAGTACACAGACTCAGAAGTACGTACACAGAACCGTCAGGAGCATCGAGATGTGTGCTGTGAAGGTACGTAATGAGGAACCTGAACTATACTCCAGCAGATCAGATAAAGCTTCCCCGAGGAAATCATAGTGAACTTGAAGCCTGCAAGATGAGAGACCAGCTAGGAGACGGCAGGTCTGGAGGCTCTAGGCAGAGTGCAAAGGATGTCTGAGGACCATGGTGTTGAAGCATTAAGTTTAAAAACGAGCCTGGCAGAGCTGGGCAGGGCCCAGAGAACACATGCCCTTGCAGGCCAGGCTCAGAATTAGGGACTTAATTTCAGGAATAACGGAAAGTTACTGCAAGTGTCAAGCAGGGAGACAGACTCCCAAACACATTTTTTAAATGCACACTCTTAGGCTCTAGCCTGGAAAATTCTGATGGGCTGGCCTGGGCCCCCAAATCTGAATTCTGAAAAGGTCCCCGGTAATCTGATGCAAAGTCTAGGAGCTACTGCTGTGGAACATTAGTTGTCCCAAGGCCCAGCCTGAGCAGCTGGCCTGTGAACTTGCCCTTAAAATAATGGTCACGGTATGAAAAGGATATACACAATCCTCGCATTGTTACTTTATCTGGCCTGGTTGTGTCAGCTTCTAGGTCAAAAGCAAAGCCAGCATAGTCCTCATTCTGGTGACCCTCTGGCATTTGAAATGGGTGTGTGCGTGCAGGGGGGAGGGATGGTGTAGCAGCCGTGGTCAGTGCCCGGCCCATGTTCCGTGGACGGCACTCCCCTTCCAGCCACGGCGGCCAGCTCCCCCGGTCTCTCCTGCTCCGCTCTCCTGAAGGGTTAACCAGGGCTCCGGCTGCTGAACCCGCTGTGCCGGGGAATTACTGTGTGCTTCCTCCCCCGCAGCCTCGCTCTGTGACTGAAGGTAACCAGTGTTTAAATAGCTCAGCTCCCTCATCCCCACGACGGGCAAACTCTGAGATGTGTGTTTTACACTGACTCCCAGAGTGGTCGCAGCAGGACTGTGTTCCTGCTGTCTACAGTGGTAATCAGTGTGACAACAAAGCTTTCCCTGGTGGTCCTCCCCTCCCCGGCTCACTTCCTCACTCCCCTGCTGAGGTCTTCCTCACCTCCCAAATAAACCACCTGCAACTGAATCTTTGTCTCGGGGTCCACTTCAGGGGGTGTGAACGGTCTCTTAATGTGCAAAAGTGCATTAAAAAAAAAAAAAAGTCAGTAGAGTCTGGCTACCAAATTTAGTAAATTATTACAAAGGACGCAAAGAAAATGCATTAAAACCTGAATGAAAAATTCTATCCATGTATGCAATGAATATGGGAAAAGAAGAGAGAAATAATCTGATATTGTAAGAATTGTCTTGAATGCTGTATTCAAAGTTTAACTCAGGAATATCAAAGAAATGGGCCACTCTTTCCTTTGTTCCACGAGAAGAAAAGAATGCTGTGCAACAAATAAGTAACCTAATTCCTCTTGCCCCATTAGTACAAACTAATACTTACTCAGGGCTTATTATTAGTCATTGCCCTCACAGCTTTGCACAGCTCACATTCTTAAGTCCAGGTTAAAGAAATCAACAATCCAAAAATTTTATATTTACTTACGAAATGAAAAAAGATATTAAATATATTCACACAGATTTACTCACAGCAGAGAAGCCAGCCAACTTCTACCCTGTTAATTCTACCTTAAGTCAACCATCCTCAAGCCATAAGATACACTTTTTCCTTAACAACCCTTCTTTTATTTGTTAGCATTTACTATGTTGCCACCTCATGATCATTTATATCTAAAATACCCAATGCCACTGCAATTGCTGTGAGAACCAGTGACTGCCTGCAGAAAAAAGGAATCTGAAGTCAATTTTCAAAAATGTTAAAGAAGAAATTAAAATTTTTAAAGAGTAAATCAATCTGTGCTATTTTGAAACATACTGCTTTTTCAAGTACGCCTAATGAAGCATTTAGGTTGGAACATCAAAATGTCTGCAACCATCTCTTAAAAATTCTTCTGCGTAAAAAATACAGTGAGAAAAAAATGTTCACCTTAAAAATTGAGGGGTCATTTCGATCATCTCCCTCATGTTTCCTTTGCACGTGACTAATCAAATCTTTCAGGTTATTTTTAGTTATAAAAAAAATAAAAACAGTAAATCTGGAAAGATGAAGATAAGAAGAAATCTAAACAAAGTCTCTAAAACCATGAATAATGGAACGCTCATTTACCAAATGGAAGCAGATCACTTGAAGAAATTTAACCTTAATACAAAGAAGTGTTCAAGTATTCACTCACACAAAGTAATGACAGATCAGAATTCACTGACTCAAAAGACAGTATGGGCTAAAAATCTATGACACAGAAAAACTATTTAGATATGAAACGTGTGATAGGTTATACAGAAAACTAAAAACATCTGAGGTTGTTCCCTAAATCCAGGTGATTACATGAAGAACCACGACCACAACTCAGAGAAGACTGGTCACTGGAATGGTCAAATCCATTACATTTTTTTTTTACATAAATTCTGAGTTAAAGAAGACCCTAGGAAATCATCCCAAGGAGATCCTGCTGAGAGGAAACTCTGGCCCTAGGAATCTGGCCTGGAGCCCAGCTAGTGAGTGAAAAGCCTGTGTGAGATTAGACCTGCCCGCTCTTCAGAGTATTCTGTTGATATTTTAAACAGTATCTTGGCTTCTGAAATCTAAACGCTAGGTAGTCTTACCACCTTGTGAGTCAGAGTCAATGAACTCTGTATCTGTAATTATAACTATATGAATTAGTACTTTGTCTTAAAGTAAATTTCCTCACGTGGTATGACCTCATTTTGGAGTTCTGGGTTGGGTAAAATGAGTTTATGTTACATTAGTCATCGTTTTAAGGGTAAAAAAAAAAAAGTCATCCTCCTGTGGTTAATAATTAAAGAAGTTACAGCTCACCCCATCCACAGGATAAAATTACTTCTCTATAAGAATACTGACACGTGAAATGCCATTAGTCCAATAGTATTGCTATGAATTTAGGATGAGATTTTTTAATTCAAATGTCTACCTGGCTCATCCATAAGAATGGAAGTTATAAAATATTTAAATAGAGAACTATGTTGCCTTAGGTTTTAAAATACTCATAAAAGGGGTGCCTGGGTGGCTCAGTCCATTGAACATTCAATGCTTGATTTGGCTTGGGTCATGATCTCAAGGTTATGGGATCCCCCTGAGGTGGGCTCTGCACTCAGTGGAAAGTCTGCTGGGGACTCTCTCTCCCTCTGCCCCTCCCCCTGCTCACGAACATGAGCATGCTCTCTTTTCTCTCTCTCTCTCTCAAATGAATAAATAAATCTTAAATAAATAAATAAAATATTCCATAAAAGAAACTCCCAAAACCTAAGCACTAAGGAATATCTTTCCACTAATCTGCTCTTTTTTAGTAGTATCCTCAGTTAATGTAAGGGCACAGACCTACTACTTAAAGATCAAACAAAATCTAGTTCTTTACTTAATAATCCACTGAGCTTAACATTCCAACTCAACTCTACAAGTGAAATCAAAAATAAATGACTGAGCTTATATAGTTGACCCTTGAACAACATGGGTTTGAACTAAGCAGGTCCACTTATGCAGATTTTTTTTTAAATAAATATATATATACTACTGTAAATGTATTTTCTCTTCTTTATGATTTTAATAACATTTTCTTTTCTCTAGTTTACTTCATTGTAAGAATACCATATGTAGTATCTATAACATACAAAATATGTGTTAATCAACTGTTTATGTTACTGGCAAGGCTTTCAGTAAACATTAGGCCATTAGTAGTTAAGTTTTTGGGGACTTAAAAGTTGTACTTGGACTTTCACTGTGTGGTCAGTGCCCCTAACGCCTATGTCGTTCAAGGGTCAAATGCAGTACAATTAACATCTTAATAATTAAAAGAAATAACACATATGCAAGTGCTTGGCATGAGCATGAAAAAGAAATAATGTACATTCTTCACAAAAATCTGACATCTTTCTCAAAAAAGGTGGCTCTATATAGATATTGATCAGTTCATTTGGAAATATGAACTGGCATGAAGTAAAATGACTGGAATTTCTAAACATCTAACACCAAAAAATTTCAACTAAAAGATGAACAAGTAAGAAGAAAGCCTGTCTCATTTAGATATGCTTTTATAAACTCTCTGCCTAATTTTTTTAAGTCCACTACTGATCTCCATCACCATTTTACATTAAATCAAATGCATTTTCAATAATGTCCAAGAAAAGATAACCAGAGAACATAAAACATGTGAGATAGAAAACCTTTTTCAACCAGAGTACTTCTAAACAACACTAATATTATCACTTTAATTACCTGATTTCAGGAGATGAAGAGATTTCATTTGTGTCTGCCCTTTTATTTCTTGGAAATGATGGACTAGCTGGAGGCATCTCACCACTTAAACGGTCTGGGAAAATTCGGTCTTTATTCAAATTGATTTCTGAATAGGGACAGTTGGCAGCACTAAAATATTAAAGGAAAAAGAAAAGAACGTTCCCATTAGAACATGCCTCTAATTAAAATGACAGGCTATAGAATATAAAATCCCCAAAATTTAATTGAATGTTATACATATTTATATATGTATGTATGATTAAACATATAAATATGAAATATTTTATCTCTAAGATATAATTTAAGTATATCTGATAGAAAATGTGTCTTTGCACTAGATAGATGTTTAGATGCAATCTGATGAAATCTTTGGAACTGAGCAATGATAACTCAAGGATCCCCTCTGTATTGTCCAAGGGCAGAGCCTGTGCATATCTATAGAAACAATCAGTTCCAAGAGAGAAGTGCTTAAGACATCATAGGAGGCTTGGTGATAGAGGTGGGTGATGGACAGATGGTGCAGATCTGCTTCCTAAAGTGATCCTCCAGCCTCAGGGTCCGCACTGGCCATGTCATTTCCTTTATAACAGCTGTCCCTCCAAAGGAGGGAGGTTCCCCCGTGTTCCTGGCTCCAGGTCCAGCTGTACACCTGATATCCTAGGCAATACATGTATCAATCTGTAGTTAATCCTGTTTCTGATATGAAAGGAGCCCAGATGCCAACTTGGATCATGACCCATCCAGCTCATTTCCCTTCTACTGGTGCCTTCTGGACCCCTGGCTGGTCTCTCAGGTCCCATATGGGGATCATTCCTGTTATCCAAGTAAAGGAAATCTAGGTCACTAATTGTTAAATCAATGTTAAGTCAGTATAATTCTCTACCTAGGCCTCAGCTTTCCAGGCTCCAGAACAACGGGGCAACCTCTGTATCTCAGGCCTCCAATACATAATGAACCCCTCCAACTACCTGCCCATCTTGCCCCTCTGGTTTTAGGAAGCCTCCTTAAATCTGAGAATTGTTGGCTCTTAGATAAATTACTTTAGTGTCTTGGGTGCCTGGGTGGCTTAGTTGGTTAAGCTGTCTTCACCTCAGGTCATGATCCTGGGGTCCTGGGATTGAGTCCCGCATCAGGCTCCTTGCTCAGCTGGGAGCCTGCTTCTCCCTTTGCCTGCCGCTCCCCCTGCTTGTGCTCTCTGTCTCTCACTCTGACAAATAAATAAAATCTTTAAAAAAAGTTGTATTAGTGTCTTACATGTCTTTTCCTCTCTCTAGGTGAGAGTGGGAATGTTGATAATCACCCAGGGAAAATTTTTAAACAATGCGTGTCTATTCTCCACCAAGAAAAAAATTGGATACCTTCTAGGAGGAGGAGGGAAGAGTTTGATAACTAAGTGATTTTGATAATGGCCTATAAAACTTATCACAGATATGTTATAAGCTAAAATACAATTTTTATTTAACTACATACTACTCTACACTATCATCTATGCAAAAGACAAACGTAAATAACATTTGATCATGTGTTGACATAAATGTATATAATACTAACCCAACAATAACAAAAACAATAACCAGTAATATTTAGGGAGCACTCACTAGATATCAAGCACTTTGCTAAGCACAGTATTTTACTTAGTCTTTACAATATCCTATGAGGAAGGCTTCTCATGAGACAAACTAGGCTTAAAATGCTTAGGTGACCTCAATCTTTAATTATTTCATTCATTTGTCCAACAAGTATTTATCGAGTATCTATAATTATCTTTCTAGGCACTGGAAACACAATGGAAAATAAAAAGGCAAGATCCCTGCTCTCACGGGGCTGATATTCTGGGGGAAGATGAGCACTGCACAATTGCACAAACATAAATTAGACAGCCTCACATAGTGACACATGCCATGGGGTATGGCCTAAAGGAGAACACGGGGCTGTCCCAGGTGGTGAGGAAGGGCCTCCCTGAAGCGGCAGCATCTGATCAGTGCCCTCAAGGTCAGGAAGAAGCCTGCTCTGGCCACACAGGGGAAGAGCACTCTGGGAAATGGGAAGAAGAGCACAAAGGTAGGGAAAGCTCGGCATGTGTGGCGGGGGAAGACCATCGACGGCCGAGTGCGTGAGCAAGGGGAGGGTACACACTAGAGGCCTGCAGAGGAAAAGTATTATGTAGGGTCTGGTAGGCCATGGTCATGGGTCATGAGCTCAGTTGGTTAGTTTACGTCTGATGTGAAGCCACTGGAGGACCTTCAAATAAGGGAATGATATGGTTTGATGTACAATTTAAAAAAATCACCCAGGATGCTTTGTGGAGGGAAGATTTCAAAGGGACAGAATTGGAACAAAAGAAGTTTTATGTAATTATAAAGACATCATGGTGACTTGGATCTGGGTGGCTAAAACGGTCATGGTACCTCTGCGATCCCTCCAAGGGAACCTGTGCATGGATGGGTGAGGGGAAATGACATTCAAGAAGGATTTAAGAATGGTCTGTAGGTTTCTGGCTTGAAGACCTGGTGGTGATAGGGATGCATTTTCTTTTCTTTCTTTCTTTTTTTTTCCCCCCTGAGATGAGCATGATGAGAGAGAAGCAGATCTGGGGACAACATCAGGAACTGTGGCATGTTTATTAAACAATCAAGTAGAGATGTGGCTTGCCCAATGTCACAAAGCAACAAAGTAGCTCAGTAAGATGAGCGCACTATTTATCTCATTGCGAACAGGCATACTATTTTAACTCATTTTTATTCATTTAGTGATGATGTGAAGGAAGAATTCATCACCAACCACAATGTCTCTTCTGAACAAGAATCCTTCAAGTACCTCATGGAATCCTTTATGGGATATTTGTACTAATTAGTGTTTATGGATATAAGTAACAAAAACCAATTCTAAGTTGAGCAGAAATAAACTTATTAAAGGGCATCGGACAAGTCAGTAGGAAGGCTGAGTAGTCAAGCTTGGTCAGGAAGGAAAGTCCAACCAGCTCTCCCCCCCAGACACAGTCTACACACGATGGGGGGCTCCTGGGGCTGTGGCCCTTACTCACTCCCCAAACCCCTCAGCCATGTCCACACCCGCCCAACACCCAATTCCACAGAGACTGCAAACACCACGTGTGACCTGCCTTCACATCACTCCTCCCGATGGCCGACCCAGGTGGTAGTATCTGCTTGGCTACGTTTCAGTTTTCTGCCCACACAGTAAGTGCCACAGGGCCTGAGGAAGGGGGAGAGGCCCTGCTCCCTGTGGTTCCCCCGAGGGACGTGGAGCCCTGCCTTACACCTATCTTGTTTCAGACAAAATATAAATGACCCAGGGCTGCCTCATAATAAACATGTTTAAAACCAAATTCATCATCTTCAATGAACTCCCCTCTTCTGCAGAAAAAAGATAAATACAACCTGCCCCTCCCGCTATTTTTGACTCTTTGTTTCTGACAAAGGAACTATATTAACTAAGCCTCAGATTGTCATCTTTAACTCTGTTGTTCTTTCTTCCTCGTACTGTGTATTTCTATGACAAATTCACCTCCTTGCATTTTGTGACGGCAAGAAAAAAAAATCTAAATGTAATTCTTTGTGGTTTTTTTGACAAACAGTATGCTGCTAATCCTATAAATACTGCAACCATCATGTTTCACTCACAGTTAAACACCTGGCTTTACAATTACTGAAGATCTATCTATACAACTACCCTAGGGTTTTATCAGATATGAAGTAAAGAAAATGAGAGTCCTGTTCTTAACCACCCCCCCCCACTCCCACACTGGGAAGACCCACAGTATTCTTAAGATGGGCTGCATATCCCCAACTACACACAGAGTGAACAGTTACAGTTTAGAAGTCTTAGAATATAAGATCTATGAGAACAGCCCCTTCACCTATTTGTTAACTAAGTAAAGGAAGAATAGATCTCTCTAAGATCAATACATATAAAGTTGTACAGCTCACAGAAAGGCAAGACCGCAAAACAAAATAAGACCTACTGTCTAACTATCTGCCTTTTTGGATTGTTAGGGCCAGAGAGGAATTTCAAACTCTCAACTTCAAGCAGGGGAAGTGAGCACAGCCCTCCCAGCACGGATTTACTAACGGGCCAGGCTGATCTATCAAGGGAGTCCCGTCATGAGCAGCTACCAATTTTACGCTGACACCCTCTCATCCTTTGAACCCTGAGAGAAGTAAAATGGGTTTTACATACCTCACATTTTTACACCTACTACGGGGTAGAGAAGGAAGCCAGCTGGTTCCTGAAGTGGGTAGTGATTAAAAAAAAAAAAACAAAAGGTACGCCACAAAATGCAAATGAAGTGTGCTCAAGTGATGGTATGTGTACAGAGGGATGGGCAATCCCCTAGACAGAAATCAGGAAATCAGGAACCTGGTTCTAAAAGGTGCTCTGCCACCCTATCCACCACTTACTGAAGAGTAAGCACAACTTGTGAGACCCCGTCTTCTCAATTGTAAAATGAGGATGATAGCAATACTACAGTTTCCATGGCTCAAATGCATTACACATGCTAAATGCTTTACTTGCATTATCTCGTTTACCTCCCATAACCCTGTGAAGTTGTTCCTTGTCTAACACTCGTTTTACAGATGTAGAAACTGAGGCTTTAAAGAGGGAACTTGCTCAGTGTCACTTTATCAGTCCTTGGCAGAGTCTGATGATGAACTCCGGCTGTCCCCTGTTACACTGTATATGGGGGCAATCAGTACCTTGCAGTATCAAAGAATGCCCTTAGCCTTAATCTCTGACAATGAAATCCCTCTGAGTACCGACTTCGAGCAAGATACTGCTGTCATAGAGCTAATATGCATTGAGGCATTACTTAACCTCTTTGCCAGTTTCCTTGTTCTTAAATTTACAAGGTTCATACAGCTTTAAAAGTTATTAACTTTATAACTCACCAGTGCTGATCAAACTTCTGTAGAGAAAGTGCGTTCTCATTAGGCTTATAATCGTCTGTAGTTTCTCATGTACTAAGCTGTGTGTATCATGTATACATGGGCACACACATGTAGCCATATACATACATGTAACTCTTTACCATGACGTAGTTCCTCAGAGAGCACAGGAAGGAATTCATGTAGGTTTACACAGCTATCTACATAAGGATTTTATTAGGGTACACCCTGTTCTACCGGCAAATAATTCCATTATCAGCTTTGCACACAAATATCCCACCGGCCCCTCTAAGGAGGCAGTTTTTCCTAGAAAAGACTGGTCCGGCTTATGAGGAAAGGGGGACAGACTGTCTTGTTCATTTCTCCCCACCGCCACCTTTAAAATCCTTGTAACTGTGAATACATTTACTTCAACAATTAGGTAACATCTTCAGTTTTCTGAGTGATCGCATAATCGTTCTCACACTCCCTCATGACAAAACCTGAGGCCGGCTCTATCAGGCCACTTGCTTTACATGAGAGTCCAGGAGTTACAAATGGAGACTGAAGTGCCATCCAAGCCTGGGTTCAATTCTGGTTCTGCCACTGTCTGATCCTTGGGCACGTACTTAACTATTCCAACCCCATGTCCTCACCTGTAAAACAGAGATTAGAACAGCACCTGCTTCACAGAGCTGCTGTGAGGATTAGGTGAGATCACAGATTAAGTCTACGACAGTGCCTGGAACACAGGAAGTCACCAATAAATCCCACCTGTTGTCATTATTCAAAAAGGAGAAGCCGACTAACACATAACCGCTGTGCTGCAGAAGAGCATCCGCAAAGATAAACAACGGCATTAAAAACTCCATAACGCGCCTCATTGGTGGAGGCTCTCTGCTTCCCTCAGGGAAAGGGTGCTACCCCATTCATGCCTCTGGGAAAACCTGTTCGCACCAGACTAGCCTCCTAGAGGGAGGGACCCTCTCGTCTGTGCGGCCCGTCACCTAACCCCAGACCTGGCCCAAAGCAGGCACTCAGTCGATATCTGTTGGAATGCAGGGATGGATGGGTGTTGAATCAATAGGATGTTTACAGTTTGCAGGTGTCTGTTCAAATTTTTAAAACTTTCCATGGACTTTACAATGACCTTTTAGAGGTTGTTGGAAATACTCCCCATTTTTTTCTTGTTTATTTTCTCCATAATCAAATCTTACATAGAAAAAAGTCACTTCTGAAGGCACTAGAGACGCAGATTATCTACTTTCATATAACTTCAGTTCTCCCTTAATCTCCTCCCCTTCTTTGACCTTGCAGTAGCCCAAATGAATGAATCGACAAAGGGAAACACCACGACACCACCCAGATTAATGCTCCCTTGCTAGAAAGAGAGCATTGAGCCATCTGGCTACTGAATATCCCTAGAGATAAGAATAACATCCACACTCAACTCACTCACTGATTGTTTACATTTCAACATCTGAAAACATCACATTCTCAAATTTCATCGCTGAGACACATGTTCTATTTCTAACACCTCTTACATCAAATTCAACTATTATAATTTTTCAGAGACGCTAACAACTGCTAGTCAAAACAAAGCCTTTTGCTTATGTGTTCATAAAACTGATTATTCTTGCTAAAAGAGCAACTTTCCTTGTTATCTAGGCAAAGAATGCATGTTTTGATTTATGCAGTTTCTCTGCAAATTAATCCAAAGAGAATTTTCTCATTATGTTTTCCTAAACACAGCATTCTCGGCAAGGACAAAAGTAAACGCCAGTGAAATGACCCTTTTAGAGAATATCCATGATGCTGCAGCTATTCCGCAGTCTACTAATGAAATGGAAAACAGGCTGTGCCTGTTAAAGATTAATACCCTGCCAGACCCAGAGCTCCGAGTGTTGTAAATAGGACAGTCAGGGAGACTCTGGAAAGCCAGCTGAAAGGGCTCAGAAGAAGGGGCGAGTGCAGCGGCTGACAGTAGCTGCCAACTGTCTGCGCCACAAGCATCCCTCCTCCTCCCTGAGGCTCGGCCAACCACTAACTCTGTCCCAGACTCACGCACGGAACTGCCAGTTATGCCTTCCATCCGACAGAGCAACAAACTTCTTTATCAATACGTGTCTTCAAGCCAGAAGGTCTACTGCTTCCTCTCTCCTTCCAAAAAAATGAGTAATTCCCTACTGAATTCCAATTATACTGAAAGATTTCTTTACCACATTTCTCCGTAAAATCTTCCACGACTCTCCCCACGATCTCCCCCTTCTTTTAGCAAATACAACGCTGCATCTCTGAAGAAATGCTCCAAAGATGATCACTGAAATTTGGTGAAATGGGTGTGGCTCAGCTGAGGAACCCTCAGAGGTCCCTGGCACAGTGGGGAAAAGGTGGTCGTAACGAGTGGCCAGTGCCATCAGGCAGCGGACAAGACTGTCACCAAAGACCTCGCAGTGGCGGGCAAACCTCTCTGCTCACACCAGAAGCACTCCTAAAGGGACGATGGACGTTGTGTAAGGTGGGTTTCCTTTCCAGAAGCCCAAAACAAAAATTTCAACTGCACCCCAATAACATAATATCAATATTCATGCTTTTTTTTTTTTAAGCTTCTTTATTCTTTTCCTTCATAATTGGAACAAACTGCCTCAGTCCGATGAACATCTTGGGGTTGACAGACGTGTCAAAGGTTCAATATTACTGTTTAGTATCTTGTATTTTTAATTACGTACAGCTTTATATTTCCATTAGTCCCTGAGTTCTCTGAAGGCTGGGTCTGTGATGAATTCTTGGAGCGAGGCCTTGAGAGGCAGTGAGAGGGGAGAGGTCAGTAGCACAGACCCTTGAGCGAGACTGGGAGCCAATCCCTGTCCCCCCCCACCAGCAGTCCATCAGTAAAACCTCTCCAGTGCCACAGTGGTCTCACTGAAAACTGGGAGAAAATACTACTAAAACTAATAAGGTTCAGAAGGTTATCCATAAACGTAAAACAGAGCAATACCTTGTGCAGAGTAAATACATACTCAATACACGTTATTATTGAAAAAACTCCTCAAAAATATTTAGTGAATGAAATAATTTACTAATACACAATGGAAATTTAGCATGCTAATGAATTATTTCTGGCACTTAGACTTATATAATGCCTGAAAAATAATCTAGCTGCCTTCACTCAGCAACACTGAACAACTTTTAAGGTGTAGTATTTTAATTGTTTAAATTAATCACGTAACTCTGGGTTGGCACTTACACAAACAATGAAAAGGACTTTTCTTTTATTATTATTTTTTAAGCAGGCTCCATGCCCAATGTGGGGCTTAAACTCACAACCCTGAGATCGAGAGTCGCATGCTCTCCCGACTGAGAGCCAAGCACTCATGAAAAGGATTTTTAAATGGGTATTTGTAAATGGAATCACCACCCTATGTTTAGACTATTTACTCTGGAACAGAGACTGAATCCCATAAAAATCTCAGGAGCAGTGTTGCAAAAGGAAGATAAGCGGTATTTGTGGATGCAGAGATGAAAGATATAAAGAAAGAGAGGGAGAGGAAGGAAGGAAAAAGGGAAGGAAAGAAGGAAGGAGGAAGAAGCGTTAATTACACCAATTTTACAGTTCCTATTAACTCTTAAACAAGTAGTGCAATCTTCAGATTTTTCAAAAGACCCAGATTCACAGTGTGTACAGACTAGGTAAACAAGGGATCATTTTCCTTACTGGGTAACCCAATTAACATGTAGTTAGAACACTTACATTGACAAACGATTATTTTAATACATCCCTAAACAGGTGATGCTTTTGTTCCTCGAAAATCTCAGTCAAATCATAGGAATTTCTAGGTATTTCAGTAATATTTTTAAATGTCTCCAAAGAGCCCCAAATCGCCTAAACAATACATCAAATTTCAAATGTATAATTTTGGTTTCTTTTTTAAGTTACTTAGGGGTAAATGAAAAATACTGAAAAACACTGTTTTGGATCAATGCACTCTCAAGTGTGACTATTTATATTTGTGCTTCTTATAATCTTTGCTTATCTATGATTATAGATAATTATAGATAATCTTTGATTATCTATGATAATCTCACTTCTCATTATTCAAATTGTTGAGTCCCTCAATCATATCGTATTCTACCAAACAAAGACCAATCATACCGTATTCTACCAAACAAAGACCTTCAACAAAGACCTTTAACAGGGTCTGCCTTCTTCTCATTACGGTCAACCCAAGTGACTCTTTCAGAAGGTGAGTATCTGTACACCTGGTCAGGCTGTCAAGAAAAGGCAAATAGCTAGAGTAAATCCATTTTAGACTGTGAATGCATTTTTCTCCCAGGAAGACTTAACTACAGATATACTCTTCGTTTTTATAGGATCACCATGGAAACCACATTTCGTATAGATCAAAATATAAAATTAGCTCACATCTATTAGTACACATGGAAATCATTATCTTACACATACATGGGATGGGTACCCTGTCTTTGACCACATAAGGAATTCCTGTGTGAGTGGCAGCACCACATACCTGTGAGGGCCCAGGTGTCTCACTCTCTTAAAATGGCCAATCCCTTTACATCCTGGGGTTGAGCATCCGCCATGTTCTGAAGCTTCCATTAATTCTAAAGGGCCTATAAGAAAGCAAGGGGGAAAAAATGAGAGAAAGAAAGAAGGGGCATAAAGTTAACCAGAAGGCTGTAAAATAAAAATTTTAAATCTTAAAAGTCTTTATTTTTAAAGGTTTTTCCCTATGCTTTTGTTCACACTATCTTTCTTCAACAGTGAAATGGTAGACTTTGATCTAACCCTCTTTCAATGTCAAATTCCAGAAACATCTAAATGTGAATTAATGCGGCGATTCTTGCAATTTTCATGAACTAAATAACGGCGATTCTTGCAATTTTCATGAAGTAAATAACATACTTAGTATGTGAATACTGGTATACTGTGAAAATTTCAGACACCACACTGGAATACAGAGAAACAGTTACAGATTCCATTCATACTACCCCCTCCACATTTCATACACTCCCTCATCCTGACCACTTATGTTAATGTGTAATGTGCTAGATGTTGTTCTAAGCATTCCCATATATACCTATGTGTGTATATATACATGTATCAAGTTTTTGGTTTTGTTTCATTTTGTCCTATACAAGGGATAGCACAGATGTGCACTATTCTGAAACATTTTTTTTCTTTGGTCTTTAACTTCAGTTCCATCTCAATGGTAATATTCTTTAATGGCTGTGGCACAGCGTCTGTATTATGAATGCACCAGAATTTAACCAATCTCTGTTTCTAAGGTTTGTTATTTTAAATATACTGTAACAAACGGCATGCATGTCAATTTTTGTACCTTTATGCAGCCTGTATGTAGCATCCAGAAATGAAGCCACTCGTTGGGGGACTGCACGCTAAACTTTTTAAAACCCTGCAGTTATCCATTGTATTTCCTATTTATTTTTTGCTACAATATATGTTTTCTTTCAAACCTGAAATTACAGTACGTCAAGTTCTCAGTGCTTACTTTTTTAACAACTGAATTTAAAGCAAATTTTTACTGAGGTTATTGTAAATCCCATGCAGTTTTAAGTAATAATTCATAGGGAGAGCCCTTGCACACTTTGCCCAGTTTTTTGAAATGGTAACATGTTGCAAAATTATAGTATAAAACCACTCCTGATACATTAGATTTTGATAGACTAAGTCTGACAAATTATCTTCCAAAAATTCAGTATCAATTTTAAAAGGTGAGGAGTACTTCTAAATAAAAGTAAAAAAATCTATATAAACTTTGCTTTTTCAAACATTCCATTTTTTCTTTTATATTTTTGTGACTACCATGTGACTGAAAATGTAGGAAGAGGAAAAGGATTACATAGAGAAGAAATGTACAGTGAGAAAGAAGTAGAAAGAACACTTTAAGGACTCTACACAAGAACATGGAAACATTTATTTAAGTTATCCTTGTGTCTCTTACTCAAAGGAGGCTGAAGAGGATGCCCAGTTTTTGAACACCAGCCCACAGGATGAATATCAGGACAATCTGCATCTACCCAGTAATCATAGCAACTATTCCAGCCATCAAAGTGAACCTGGATAACAAAAAGAAATTAACAGTACAATTCAGGTCACAAAAAATCCTACATTAGAAGTTCTACCCACCATAACCATTTTCATTCTCTTCTAAATTATACAGTAGATTTAATACCAAATACATTTTTTCAATTATTTAAATTACTTCATTTACACTATGAGGAAAACAGGCACTTTTGACCTATCTTTAAATTATCTGTCCATCAAGAAATGTCTTCCCAAGGGAATTTTTCCAGCAGTACTTCTACAGAAATACTATTATGTGTTATCTTCCAACACTAGAACAACTTGAATACATAACATCTTCATATAAGCAACACCAAACACCCAGTAAGTATTACTTAAGTAATGAATAAATCAGGGCAGGGAGGGAGGATGGGAGGGGGAGTGGAGAGCCAGAGGGCCTTTCATATAAAAGTCAACTCTCCCAGAGTTATGCTAATAAGGCTTTTTAAACACTTCAACATCCTATTAGAAATACACCCAGTTTACAAAATATCTCTCCATCCAATGCACTTCTAAATATCATTTTTTTTCTCATAAATAATTACAATATCTCTCAAAGACGTTTTAAAGAGTGGTCAGTGCCACTGTTATTGGCCACTATGTGAAAGCGCAATTGGTCCCCCAGGCAGGGTCACTAAGGATCAGCTAGGTAGCTTTTAAGTACTACATATATTTTATCTTTTAGGATGAAAGGATTTACCAAAAGGCTATATATATTTTACTTTTACATCAAGTCTGCCAGCTAGATTTCCTTAAGTCTGTGAATCCCTTACTCCTAACAAGACAAGAGATACCAGATGGATAAAAAATGCAAACATTAAAAGCTGAACAATACAAGTTCTAGAACAATGTACGAGTGAATATATTTATAATCTTAGAGTAGGATAACCTTTGTAAGTAAGACACCAAACTCAAAAGCCGTCAAATAAAGATTGTTCAGTTTGACTACATGAACATTTAAAACTTGAGAGTGGCAAATATTCTGTAATGAGTGGCAAATACCACCAAAAAGATGGAAGACCCATGAAAAACCTGAAAAACACATTTATTACGTATGTAACAATATACTCTGTTCCTTAATTTATATAGATATCATACATCAACATAATAAGATTAAAAGCCCAATAGAAAGATGAAAAATATAAACTGTTCATAAATAAGAACCTAACTATAAATAGTAAACATAAAAAGATAATCAGTTTCACTTATAACCAAAAAACTACAAATTAAAACCACAAGATGCAATTCCTTCAACCTGTCAATTCTGATTCTTAGAGCTGGTGAGTATGAGAATAAAAAGCTTTCTCACAGACTACTGACAGGAGTATTAATTAGCAAATACTTCTGGAGTGTTATCTGCAGTAACAATCACTTAAAATATATCATCTTTGACTTGATAATCTCAGTAACTCAACTCATTGTTTACAGTAGAAAACAACCTTGGTATCCACCGTTAGGAGACTGGCTAACTAAATTATGGTACATCTGTATGACAGAATAGTACAGAGTTGTTAAATACATGTATACGGGTTCAAAACAATGAATCCACTTTCTCAAGCTGAGAAATCAATTAATCCTAGAATCAAAGCCCACAGAATTCCACACCTGGAAGAAATCATAGGTATTATCTTAAAGAAGAGAAGAGATCACACAGCTAGTTGGAGTAGTAACCAAGCCTAAAATTCAAGGATCCAAATAAAATTATTCATTTCATTCACATACACTGAATATAAAAGTCGCAGAGAAAATTAAAGTAACCCTTTCCTTTCCTCTGATCAAAAACAATGCTCAACTAACAGTGAGATGACATTGATGATAATTTTCTAAAAATATCAATTTATGCTATCAAGGCTACCAATAAATGAGCAGACATAACTCAGTGTTACATGAAGTTTAAAGTGTCTTAATTCTCAACTAATCAAATGATTACTCTATTTTACTAGAAACATCAAACTTTCCTGGATTCTGATCTTGCTATTCCTAAATCCCATTTCTTTTACACTGGAATCAATGTTCACACATAATTCATGTCTCATTTGTTGTAGACAAACCACTACATTTTAAAAAATTCAGGTATCTTTCTAGAGCAAACATACTCAATCCTAACAAATAAATGGTTCTCCACCCTGGAAACATACCGGAATTTTCTCTATGATGAAAAGGAGAAAGAAATAAAGGGGGGGGGGAAAGGCTGAGCCTTCCTAGGAGACTGTTAATCCATAGGTTTGGTTTTGTGCATACATATGTTGTTTACTCAACTTCTAAGTAACTGTGGTGTGCTCTCAGAATTGAGCCCCAGGGATATTAACTGGTACATTATTGTACATCAATATAGTCTCTGAAAATCTTGCTATCATCCTAAATAAAAGGGTTCTTTTTAAAGTTTCCTTCCATATGCCTTTAAGAATGTTTATGGTAGATCTAGCATATCTGGTGACCACAATGTTTCATAGTTTTCCGTGACACTGAAATCTTGGTTTGGCAATGAGAAGTTATCTATCTAAGATTAATGTACTTTAGATACCATAGATATAACTAATACCTCCTATAAACTAGGTTGGTGGACAAGCTGGAGAATTTCAGTAGTTTAAGGGTTCAATTTCAGAGATAAAATTTAGTTTAAATATTATGAACAGAGGTAACAATAACATTCTCTCTGATAAGTACCAAATACACTTAAAAATGCTATCTGAAATTATATAAAAATCAATATATGCAAAAATTAATACTAACCCTACCAGATGAAATAGTTTTATTAAAGTTTGTATAGTTTTACTTCATCTTTTGTAACTTCTACTACTTCAGTCGCTGGCATATTAAGAGGTTTTAAACAAAAAACCAGACACTTTAATAATGTTATGTTTTACTCTTGCTGGGGACTATTCTGAAAAGAAATCAAATGTCTAACAAAGAACAAGAAAGGAAGATACATAAACATACAAAATGAAATATTTAAAAATTTTACAAACCCAAAAGAGATATACCAAATATTTATAATACAAATGTTCCAATATAAATACAAGTATATATGAAAGCAACTCAGCAATAATGCTGAATTTAATAAAGAATCTGAAGAAAATGAGATGAGGGGTGCCTGGGAAATTCAGTCAGTTAAGTGTCCGACTCTAGATTTTTGGCTCAGGTCATGATCTCAAGGTGTGAGACTGAGCCCCAAGTTGGGTTCTATGCTGGGCATGGAGCCTGCTTAAGATTCTCTCTCTCCCTTTCCCCCCCCCCCCCATGCCTGCTTTCTCTCTCTAAAAAAAAAAAAAAAAAAAAAAAAGAAGGAAGGAAGGAAGGAAAGAAGGAAGAAAGAAAAAGAAAAAAGAAAGAAAATAAGACGATTATGGATTAAAGTATAGTGAGGAAGACTTAACTCACACATATTTAAAATTATAGTTTAGGAAACTGGATACATTTTTATCTAGAAGCATTTTTTGGAAACTTTGTAAAACCTAAATGCCTGTTATTGACAACTTATCAAGAATAAGACATAATATTTTAGAAAGCACACTATTTCTTAAAAAGAAAAAGATTTGGTCGGATTTTCTCTTCTTGTGAAAGGCAACTCACTAAAGCACATTATAGACCCAGGTGCTTATTTTCACTCTCTTCTGAAATTAAAGTTATATCTGCAAAGGTATAAAGCCAGGAGGACAAATGGAGAAAAGTGGCTGACAGGTGAGAAGTGACAGCAATGTGTGGGGAAGGCAGGAGTGTTGACCTACAGGATAGAGTGGGTGGACTGCAGCCCAGGTGCCTGAGAACAGGACCAGAGCAAACGGATGTACTGGGCAAAACCCAAGAAGGACTCAATCTGGTGGCAGCAGGTAGGAGAACTCCCTTAGTCTGCTCCCCACTCTACCACTCCACCCACCAAAGTAACTGCCCCTTCAACAACCCTGCCAGAGAGTAGAGGTTTACCTTGTAGAGAAATAAAATCACTGAGGGTCTGAATTCTAGAACAAACCTGCCATGGCAATGGGCGGGACAGAAAGCACAGGAACTAAGCAAGAGCCGCATATTCCAACCCAGTCCCCTCTGTCTCACACAGAGACTGCCAGGGAAGAGACTGGTGGAAACTGAAAGCCTCCAGAGAAGGACTCAGATGCCCAAAATGGGTATCTCCCTGTGAAAAAGGTGGCTCTTCGCTTTCTTATCATACAGTGAAGTCCACTCATCTCTAAGTCCCACCCATGGAAACTGCTAACTTTTTGAGTGCCTTTTTCTTAAAGGAGACAGCCAGTCAAGGACCTGACATTTGTGGTGAGGCTCCAATAAAGCAGAGCAGAGACTAACTAATAAAGAAATTAAGAAGACGTAAGCAGGGAACAGAAGAAAAATGATCACTAGTATCCTCAGATAAGAAACAATATTGCTTCAAGTAATAAAAAGATGATGCCATTTAAAAGGAGGGGAGCCTTTTACAAAGATGGCGCCGAAGGCTAAGAAGGAAGCCCCTGCCCCTCCCAAAGCCGAAGCCAAAGTAAAGGCTTTGAAGGCCAAGAAAGCAGTGCTGAAAGGTATCAACAGTCACAAAAAAAAGGAGATCCACACGTCCCCTACATTCTGACGACCCAAGACACTGCATCTGCGGAGGCAGCCCAAATATTCTCGAAAGAGCGCTCCCAGGAGAAACAAGCTTGATCACTATGCCATCATCAAGTTCCCCTGACTATTGACTCAGCCATGAAGAAAACAGAAGACAACAACACATTTGTGTTCATTGTGGATGTCAAGGCCAATAAGCACCAGATCAAACAGGCTGTGAAGAAGCTCTACAACACTGATGTGACCAAGGTCAACACCTTGATCAGGCCTGATGGAGAGAAGAAGGCATATGTTCGACTGGCTCCTGACTATGATGCTTTGGATGTTGCCAACAAAATTGGAATCATCTAAACTGAGTCCAGCTGGCTAAATCGAAATATAAATTTTTTCACCAAAAAAATATAAATAAATAAAATAAATAAAATAAAAGGAGGTGAGATTAGAAAATAAGAAAAAAACTGCTGAAAATTAAAAAAAATCAGAGCTGTAATTAAAAATGCAACATAAGTTTTGGAAAAATAGAGTAGATATCTCTAAGCACGTAGAATAAAAAATCAGAGAAGCAAAACAGAAAGAAAGTATAAGAAAATCAAGGGGTCAGTTCAAGAGGTTTAACACCAGAGTAGGACTTCCAGAAAGAGAAGAGAGAAGACAAAAGAAGTCAACAAACTAGTAATACAAGAAACATTTCCAACAACTGAAGGACATGAAGCTCCACAGTAAAAAGCCTGAGTAGTCTGCATGATAAATGGAAAAAGACTCACATCAAGACATGACATCACAAAACACGTGAACATCAGGGATGGAGAGATGGTCCGGATGTGAGAAGATGGGGGAACAGTGCTTTTAATTTCTGTGGGGAAATGGTTCTCTACCTAGCATTCCACACCTAGTCACAGTATGAATCAAATGTAAGACCAGTAATACTGACATGCAAGCAGTCAAAAAAAGATGCTTTTCATCAACCCTTTCTTAGAAAGTTATAAAAAAGATGTGTTTCAGCAAGATAAGAGAACACTTAAAAAAAAAAACAAGTATGTTTAAAAAAATGAAATACAACATAGTCTGTCAGCAAAGAGCAATTTCAGGATGAAAGCTCTGGATAAGGCTTAGAGCAGAACCACCCAGATCACCATAGGTGACTGCTAAATTGTAGGAAAAAGGGTTCAAGGAAAAAAAGACACAGATAGCAGGTTTAAAAAAATATACTTGGGCTTTTGACAGAAAGACACGGCAGATTTATTGGAGCACTGGTAGACTTATGATACTATGAGCACAGAAAATTAAAAAAAAAAATCAAAACACAAGAAATTACTGACTCCAGGAAAAACAGTCATAAGAAAAAAAAACTACTCTGCTCAGCAGTGAACAAGATTTACTTATTCATAATAACATGAACATGGAAGACGGGGAAAATTTTTTTTGAAATGTGAAAGAGCTACTGAACCGGTAAAGGGTAGGGATGGATATGGTAAGAGCTTAATCCTGAATGACCCTAACAGGAAGGAAACAAACCAGACCTAAAATTGATGGAGTGACAAACAGCTGAATACAGATGTAATTCCTGAAAATGAGGGATAAAATGTCAGAAGCAGCAAAGGAAAGTTGCAAGTTTGTGTGTATGGGGAACCAAACGTGAGTGTGGGGGCGGATGGGGAAGGACTGTATTACGTTCTCACTGTCCCCAAAACATAAAGATGAGAGCAAAAACATTCTGCTTGTCTTCCTTCAGCATGTGATGAAATATATGAACGTTTTAAAATTTTTAATGGTAATAACTCAAGATCTGATATAGATCATGGCCCATAAAGGCTGATTTTGTTTCACTGAAGAGTTGATTTTTTCCCTGAAAAAGTTAAAATATTAAAATATTAAGCTATGCTAATGACTTAGTCTCTATATGCTTTTCCTCCTCCTTCCTGAAAAAGAAAGATAAGCATTCTTGCGACATCATCTCCTATATTAGAAAAACTTCTACTAATGAAAGCTTTTTGTAATTCTCAGAAGGCTCTGATGAATTCTGAAACTGAGTCATTGTTACCTGTTCACTGAGCTTCTGAGGACTTCATAAACACACAGGTAACTTTTTTAGTGGTTCACCTTTAGCTATGAAATTTACATCACCAATTGTGGAAAAGATAACTGTCAACTACACACCTCATAGCCAGATCTTTTTTGGGTGTTAAACAACGAGAGGGTGTACTGGAAAGTGAATTCAGCCAGAAGCAAAAAGAGATCCTTGGATTCTAGTCCAAACTTTTCCTATTAGCTAAGTGAACTACCCACTTTAGAGTATTTGACTTCCCTGGGCCAATATTTTCTCACATGTAAAATCAGAGTTAATCTAAAATTTTTTTATTATGAAAGTAATTACTATGTATTCCTGAAACCAGATCATTAAAAAGAAAACCTAATCATTTGTAATTCATTTATAATTGTAAAAAATCATTTATAATCACTCATAATCTTAGCCCCCCAAGAGAAGCACTGTCATTATTTTGGTCAGTTTCATTCCATAATATGCTTTTAAAAAACAATACCAGACATCATACAGAATAGTAAATCTGAGTTTTTTTCACTTGCCAATATTAAATATTTAACATCCTATAGATAGATAGTAATTTATTTTACCCATATCCTACTGTGGTTGTTCCCAATCTTAAATACTATAAACGACACTGCTCTCTTTTCCTTGTAGTCTTTATCTTTGCATATTCTCTTTGGTTAATTCCGTTAACATAAATTCCTAGGACTGAAATTCTTGAATTAAAGGGTTAGCAGCATTCAAGACTTTTGATGCCTTCGCCAAACTGCTTTTTAGAAAGGCCGAGACCCTTTATATTCCTACCAGCTATGTAAGAGAATAAACTTTTCATGCACCCAAACCAAAACACATTTTTTTCCAATTCTGACCAATTTGATTTTTAAAAATAATATTTTGTTTAGTTCTACACTTCTCTGATCATTAGCCTAGATTACTTAAAAAAAATATTTCTGGTCCTAAAATACTGATTGCTTTATGATTTACATTATCACACCAAAGACAATTAATAAGAAAAGGCACTTGAAAAAGGTTAACAGGCTCTCTATTATTTATAACTTCTAAAATATTGCATGATTATATAATCTTAAAAATAGTGAATTAAACAGTAAAATTTCTATTTTATACAAAACCACATTATACGTTTTTCATGTTATTTTATAATTTTTTATATATATGATCTCATTAGAGATAGCTGAATATGTGATTTATTTTTTTAAAAAGAGCATAAATTTAGACTCCTATAGCTTATTAGGACTGCGACTTAGTTCTGCCACTGCCCAGAATTAATAAGTTAATTCATTAACTCTTTATGCACCTCAGCATCAGATAAAATAGTGATAGTAGTATGAAAGCTGCTCGCGGGCGTGGGAGGGGCGTCGGGCCCCTCGGCGCCCTCGCGTCGCAATGAGCCCACGCGGCGCGGGGTGGGAGACAACCCGGGGTCCTCACCCCGCCCCACCGCTGCTGTGTGGCCTGTTCCCCGGCACGCTTTCGTCCTGATCTGGGAGCCATCTAACACTGCCCGCCTTTCCTCCCCGTGCAGACCCCCAACCATGCCCGTGGGCGTGTCCTGGGCCACGTATCTGAAAATGCTCGCTGCCAGCCTCCTGACCATGTGCGCCGGGGCCGAAGCAGTGCACAGGTACTACCGGCCGGACCTGGCAATACCTGAAATTCCACCAAAGCCTGGAGAACTCAAAACGGAGCTTTTGGGACTGAAAGAGAGACAACATGAACCTCAAATTTCTCAACAATAGAAACCTCAAAATACTTAACTCTGCCAAGAACTCCATGAATAATATTATAAGTATTAAATATATATTTTTAAAGTTTATTGAGTCAAAAAAAAATAGTGATAGTAACAGAAATCTGCAGTTATCACCACGAACGTCAAATAACGGAAGAACACTGTTACCCTGTAAAAACACCATGAAAATCTAACATCTTGTTGTTTCCATAACTGTTATTATTCTGAAGAGAAATTCCAAACAGTCCTGTGGAGTAAGTAGAAAGAATGTTGCTCTGGTTTGAGAGTGAAGTTAACACCAAAGCCAGAAACAGAACTTCTAGCTCCTCGCCTGAAACTGAGGCTACACTTCACGTTATCAGCCTAGGACAGAACAAACTGAATCCACCTTCCTAACCGTTCGCTGACCCTGCGAAAGGTACAATCTTATCTTCTTTATAAGATTATTTCTCTTTACTCATCCTATATTAAAAGGATGTACTTCTGTACTTTTCTTCTGAAAAGTCTACATCTAACACAACTCCATCAAAAAACATTAACCTTCAAGTTTTCAAAAAAAGAGCATACTATCGGAGAATGAGGTGTCATATTCCGAAGAAATCACTCTATTATTTATGACGGACTTTTAATATTTTGAGTGTGTGCTAGGAGGAAAAAGGTGGATACAACATATTAAATGTCAGTCATAAAGAGAACTTGCATCGATTAAAGGAAAACCTGGATAAATATTGACAAAGATGCACAGCAGCTTTATTTGCATATTCCTATAGTCTTACTAATTACAGGACTTCACAAATTAAATACTGGCTAAGTTTCCAACCAAGATCTCTCGTAAAAAAGATAAAACAAAACCCCAACAGAGAACACTCACTTTTATTCGGTGATCATCCGTGTCTGCAACTGTTGCTACTCTAATAAACATAGGATTTCTTTTGTCTATGACTTCAAGCTTCATTTTTTTCTGGAATCCATGTGGAGGTTTCTGTCATACAGAAAATTTTACACGGTAAGATTCACAGGAAGAGAAGGTGGGCTCTGGGTCACAGCGACAGATTAAGATGAGCTATTTACAGAATCAACCTTCAAACTCGCAAGTTCCTCCAACAGCTTTGGACCTTACCCTCCCTATCAAAAAACACAATCCCAAATCACATGGCCAAACCCCGAGGCAACAGAAACAGCCAGAGCACCCAGCCACAGGAGCAGACAGAAAGCAAAAGATCTTAAGATAAAATTCAAAATGTTGCAGTTATTTGATTAGCCATAGGGGAGGCAAGACCTTTTTCTCATTAGTTAGAAGGAGGTGTCTTGGCAAAAACCAACAAGTATTAAAATAATTTATACAAAGAGAGGAAAGAACTTTAAAGTGGCAGAGAAGTGACACAGATTAGAAATGATCATGAGACCAAAAAGCAGATGTCTTTAAAAAAAGAAAATTAGCCATCAAAACATGCAAGACCCCTTGTTAAGAATCCCTCTTGTAAGAACAGGAATGAGTACGGAGGACCTTTGCTCCTATACCTTAGCTACCTATGCCTCAGTACTTAGCAGAAACCTAGAAACCCCCCAAAAAGTGACAGGCTGTAGAAGGCAAGGTGATTGTTTCGTTAGGCAAACTGCTTAACTTTTCTGAACTTCACACCCCTGTTCTTTAAACTGGGTAGAACAAAACTGTGGCTCTGAAAATTAAGTGTGAAAATTATGTAAAGGATAAAAAACAATGCAAGGCATCTGAAGGCCAAACTAGAGAAATCATAGTTTTCTTTCTGGTATCAACATGACAGGAGACATGCAGACTGATAGTGATGTGATTTTATCCAGTTCAAAGCAAAGTACAATGCAGTTCTTCTTTGTAATAGCTTGAGTTAAAGTTAGAGAGTCAGGTAAAAATTCTTTAGGGCATGACTCTATTCATTTTTAGATCCTAAATTTACTATCAGATACGTCCTTTAAATGGCTTTTCTTCATGTAATATACTTTTTTCTCTCAAAAATTTTTGATGTTCTTTTCTGTATGTGGGCCCATACGTCTAATTAATTCTATCATTAAAAACTCTAGCAATTTGTATATGAGAAAATCATTTAAAGAAAAGTGATGTCTATGATAGACTAATTATGCTACATTAAAAATATTTTTAAAATATTTAATATTATTTTTCTTGAAATTTACAGAAACACAGAAATTATAAAGGAAGTTGTTAGAGATGAAAAAAATTTAAAATACATTTCATTACTTTAGAGACAAAAAAATGTAAAATATATTTCATTGCTTATTCTTCCCTTGCAAAGAAATCAGGTTTACTGTGAATCTTACCAAGTTTTATGTAAGATGCAATGACTCCGGTTAGAAAGATACTATAAAAAAAGCAGGTGACCTTGTATTTTGATAATTAAACATGCTGATTAACAGCAATAAAATGAAAAACAGCATCTCAGCTTGCCATAAACAAATCTAAAGGAACCATTAAATATAATTTTCATTAGAAAATATCCTGTCTTGTTTTGGTTTTTCAGAATATCTAGCTGGAAAAACAGAAGTCTGCCATAAGAACACAACAACTCATTCCACAAAATAATTCAAGCAGAATTATTTTCCAAGGAGACAAGTCCAAAATGAAGTATTTTCTGGATGTAAACAATACGAAGTCAAAAACATCTTCTGTGGTCTGCTGTTTCCCTCCCCCACTTCCTATTCTGGTTCACTTGTACTATCTCTTTCTGTTCTTGAATTTCAATGAATGAACACTATTGTCAACACAAATTAATCAAATAGTGTAAAACAAATTAACTCACCACTTTGAAAGCTCTTGCAGGAGCAGGTAAAGAATTGGTTTCTTCTAAGTACTTATCCCAAGAAAAATGTTTCACGTTCGGATAACCTAAGAAAGAAAAACGTAAATCCTGTCAGGTTTAACCAAAATGACAGTGAGAACCACAAACTGACCTGTAAAATTATGATATATTATTGTATAACCTAGGAAGTTATGTTCATATTCCACATAATAACTTTAAACTGAATAACACACTCAGAACTAACTGTAATAATTACATTACTTTCATCTTAATCAAGACTCCTCTATTACCTTTTATTTTTAATTTTTTTTTAAGTTTTATTTCAATATGTTATGTCACAAACCTCTATTACCTTTTAAATGAGAATTTAACATATATGTAAATGTATAATTTATATTCTCAGGTAAGTCCTATATACAGATACACATAAGCCAAAAGGACCCTTTAATGTCCAATTCTAATTCTACTAATCTAGGAAAAATCCCATGTACATACAGACAATGCACAGATGTTTGTTAATGTAAAAATGTAAAAACAATTTTAATAACCATAATATAGAAAATGTGCAAATATAAATATATATATATTACATATGGACTAGTACATAGGGACTAGAAAGCATTTATTAAAAAGAATGAGGCAGATTTACATATACTAATATGTGACATATTCCAGATATACCATCATATTGTTAGATCAAACAAGCAAAATCAAGTCACAGTATTTTTTTTTTAAGATTTTTATTTTATTTTTAGAGAGAGAGCATGAACGGGGAGAGAGGCAGTGGAGAGGGAGAGGGAGAGGGAGAGAACCTCAAGCAGATTCCACACTGAGCTCAGAGCCTGAGGGGGTGCTCAATCTCAGGACCCTGAGATTATGACCCGAGCTGAAACCAAGAATCAGACGCTCAACCGACTGAGCCACCCAAGTGCCCCAAGTCATAGAAGAGTATTAATAAAATATGTAGAAATAACTATCCCTCCTTCCTCTTGCCTCCTTTTGTTTCCTCCAGAGCTCAAAATCCATGAGGCAGGCATGAGCAGGAATTAACAGTGGCTCAGTGGGGTGGGAAATTGGCTACATTAAGAGGACTAAAAAAATAGGTAAATAAACTGAGATAAAGGAAGGCAGATTTCTTACTGACTGAAAAAAGAGGTATAAATAGAGAAAGTAGGAAAGTAGAATTGGTCTTGGGTCTTGGATATGAATTGGAACTAGTGATATAAATTCATTGTTTTTAATATCTAAATAGATATAGAAATATACATAAATATAATTTTTTTATATTTTACATGAATGTATTTCCTAACTATATCCTCTGAGGGGACAGAAGTAGCATCATCCCAGTAGCAATGAGCACATCTACCATTTAGATTTTAGTTTGAATCAAGGAAAGTACAAGATAAGCCTAGCTGTGCCAGAGAGTAGGAGGTTCTCCAAAAATGATTAGAACATGTCGAAGGACACAGTAACTACCTTAAAGGGATTCCCACTGGCCAAATCTGAGAAAACCTGGACATGAAAGTAAATAATGCTGGTTACAGATTATAACTCATTGATAAAAACAGTAATGTATGAGTCCATGCAGAGATAAGAATGAATACATGGGAAGATGATAAAGCTATTCTTTGCAGAAGAGTATCAACTAATTATGTACAAGGAATAAAAAAAATTAGCATTTAGCAGCTGTCAGAATAATTCTTACTAGAAATATCAACAGATGTTAAAACTAGTGAGTGATGCAGGGATGAAGTACAGGATATTCACACAATCTCAAAGTATCTCTCCACAAAATAGTTACTAATTACAGAGAGAAAAAAACTGTGTTAGTGGAGAAGCCCGGCAAACACCATCTTTTTTTTTTAAGATTTTAAAAATTTATTTATTTTAGAGAGGGAGAGCGCACATGCATGGATAAGCAGAGGGAGGGGCAGAGGGAGAGGGAGAAAGAATCCTCAAGCAGACTCTAAGCCAGGCATGGAGCCCAACGCAGGGCTCAATCCTAGGACCCTAAAAGCGTGACCTGAGCCAAATCAAGAGTCAGACACTTAACCAACTGAGCCACCCAGACGGCCCTGGCAAACACATCTTGATCAATTAATGGTAAAAGATCAGTAGTGAAACAAATGACATCATGTGCAACCTGACAGGATGCAGTGAGAACACAGCGCTGTTTCTGTGATGTTCCTGCCAAAATACATAACTCAGATCCAATCATGAGGAAATGCCAAGCATATCCAAATTAAGTAGTATCCTACAAAATGACTAATCTGTGGGGTGCCTGGATGGCACAGTTGGTTAAGTGTCTGACTTTGGCTCAGGTCATCACCTTGGGGTCCTGGAATGGAGCCCTACATTGGGCCCCACGCTCTGTGGGGAGTCTGCCTGTCCCTCTGCCCCTCCCCTGGCTCGTGCACTCTCTCTCTCTCAAATAATTAAATCTTTAAAACAAAACAAAACAACAAAATGACTAATCTGTAATCTTCAAACATACTAAGGTCATGAAAGCCAAGGAAAGCCTAACTGAAGGAGAGTAGAGGGATATAACAACCGAGTGCAACGTCTGATCCTTTTAGTACAAATGACATCATTGATATAACTGACGAACTTGAATCGGTCTCTGGGTCAAGGGTATTCTTGCAACTTTTCTGTACCTTTGAAGTTATTTCAAAATAAAAGTTTAAGAGCAAGTATGCAAACATATTTCTATGACTACAAACATTTAACAACATATTTTTAAGGACCATATCTTGCACAATTTAATATTCAAGCTGACTGCACATGCATGGAAGTTTGTATATACAAAGAGGCAGAAAGATTTTTCTGGAGAGATACAAGGATACATTCTTAAACTATGAGAGAGAACAGCCTCTATTACCTCTATTTTCACTCTGAAGTTTTCAGAACAAGCATGTATTAATGTACAACTGGATA